GTATTATACAAAGGTTGTTGCCGGGCTTCTGAGACCATCCCGGGCAGCAGAAAGTCCGGTGGCGGGATCCACACACGTTGGGTCTGCAACAGGACAGAGGAGCGTGGTCACATGAGGGGCTCATTCGGTGTGAGATATATGCATATAAACACATTTTTTTGTTGTCTTAACGATTACTAATTATCATAATAAGAATGGCATGCAAATGTGTAAATGTATGTTCACACACAATATACAAACATACATACATACATGCATGCGCGCATAATATATACATATATATCTATATTTATCTATATTTCTACACACACACAGATATATATATATATATATATATATATATATATATATATATATATATATATATACACACACATATATATCTGTGTGTGTTAATGAAAACAAAAAGACATGAAAACAAATCGCATTTCAGAGAAAAACGTTTGCTTTCTTAACATGCAAGAAAACAACCATAAAAAACTAAAACAACATCAACCGACGCCCGAGATATCCAATATCCAAACGTAGAAAAATATCTCAAAAATATCTCAAAATAATATATGGTTCAACTGTGCAAAAATCCCTCCTGCACACTTTGTTAAATTTGACATAATAAACTTGACTCAACAAATCAGGTTGTGAGCTTTTTTTAGGGCCCCATGTTCTAGCTTGTTTTTGTTTTGTTTCGTTTTTAGTGAAGGGTAGACGTGTCAGAGCAAGGTACTCATGGCTCGGAGGGATCAAAACAAACCATCCGGGCACGTCAAAACAAACCGCTAACTAACTCCCTCCGAGACATTGCATTTTGTGTAGTTTTCGTTATTAGGTTATCGAACCACTTTTTTATATATGTCAATAATCAGTGGAGTAATTGGGTTGTTACAAATTGCTGTAAGTATTTTGAAAATGACTAAGATAATGTTGGTTCGTGAGTGTTTGTGTTTGTTCATAGGTTCTCACGCATGTGTGTGTGTGTGTGTGTGTGTGTGTGTGTGTGTGTGTGTGTGTGTGTGTGTGTGTGTGTGTGTGTGTGTGTGTGTGTGTGTGTGTGTGTGTGTGTGTGTACACGCACACACATGTAAACATACACGCATGAATATGCTGTGCATGCAAAAACAGTGATAAATAGAAATGCAATTAGCTCCTCCATTACGTTAAGTACTACCATGCGCAAAACAGCTTTACAATTTGAAATGAAATCCCGGATAAAAAGGAATCCCACGATACCTTCAAGAGCGTCATGACGTAATCTTCAACCAAGGCAACCAACGCTATCAACCACCCCCTCCCCCAGACCCCCTTCCCCTTGGCTATGACGCTGCCGCTACTCAATTCCTTTCTTGTCTCGCCTCTGCTTCACTATCTTGGACTCCTCCAACCCTTCCCCGTCCCGCCCTGCAATTAACTGTTACTAGGCATGTTCCTAATCATCATTTACGCTTTTGATTACTCAATAAAAGTTCAGTACTCATAGATATAACTCATGCATATCCTCTACAAAATTCGAATTGCATTTTGATCATTTATCAACATAAAAAATAAATTCACTTTTCACAACTCACAAAACACAATCATACCTATTGCACAAGGTAACAAAGAAATAATCATCGTAATTACCCCCATAAATTGAACATTACACTTCGTTATTATCTCATTTATCTTTTTTCTCTCTTTTCTTTTGCGCTCCCCACCTCCTAGACACCATTCCTCTCTCGCTCTCCGGATTAATCTTCATTCCTCATCACCACAGGGTCATCACCGGCTGGGAAATCACCATTAGTCATCACTCAAGGCCAACCCTATCACAACCAAACAAGTCCATTAGCGTCATTCATAACCAACACCACTCATCACCCAAAGCATTTTAAGTGTCACTGGGAGCATCATTCATCGAAGTCGCTCGCGTTCTTGTGCCATTATACAAGAAGTATTTATAGTCTTCGCAAATACCATGAATAACGTAAACAATAAAACCACTAATAGATTATCATTCAACATTTACACACCACACACCCACACACACTATAAAATAAGGCATCCATAAATCGAAACCTACCATAGTGAAAAAAAATATAAAAAAAATAAAATAAAACTTCCTCATTTCCTCAAACTACAAAGATCTCGCGAGCATCGAAGTCGCCGCACCGCCCACCCAGACGGCAACACCCGAAGCACGCGTTCGAGACCTGGCCGGCCGCGTTCAAGTGCTCCTCGAGCTTTCAATCACTCACCACTCGATTACGAGATTGTCCCGGGCGTTAGAACAGCCGGGCCATTCATGGGCTGATGGATCGCTTTCGTGGCTGGCTTTAAATACGAAGCCGAGGTTGATGACGTTTTGTTTGGGAGAAATGTCGGCTAATATCTGATTAATGGTGCTCAAGATGTTTGTGGAAAAATATAATGTAAAATTGGAAGACTTTGAATGTTTATGATCCCATTATTCAAAATAGTTATTTTTTGTGTTTTGTGGTATCTAACTTTAAAGGAATCGCACGCA